ATAAAAAAGTTAATTCATTGTCTATTGTGTAGATCAGTGGAATCTGCTTTATATGTTTAATTCTATTTTTATACAAAAAAACGCATTTCAGATGCTTTTCCTACTACCTTTTCACAAAAGGGGATAACATGGTTACCCGCTTTCTCTTTCCTTCTCAAAGGCAGTCGATTGACACAAATATAAATATTTATCCAACCTTGAATTATTGAATCATGTCACGCCCGGTTGCCCTCAGCTCGATTGGCGCAATCTTGTATTCTATCCAGTATGACTAGATCATCGCAAAAAGCAAAGCTAAATTCGTTTTTAAAAAAGGTTAGAACAAGTTATACGCTATGAAAATTGAAGTTAAAAAGAAGTCAGTATATTCATTCCTTAAAAACTCGATACGTTCCGCAAATCCGATTTTCTGTAAATAACTTCTTAAATAATTCTCGTTAAAACACAGGCCATTAACGGCTACATAACTTCAAAATATGCCAAAAAAGTTTTGGATAACTAAAATGCAAAAATTTTAATATTTTTTACATCTAGTACACAAGTAGTACGCCAAAACTCAATTTCCAAATATAGCAAAATCCTTAGTATTGTTTTTTAAAAAGCGGAGAAAGTATTTTCTCAAAGAACCTTGCACAGTAATTGTAATATTTCAACGATAAATAGTAGTTTTAGAAATATTGAAGCTTTTTAGGAAGCTTAGGTACTTATTTTTAACCGACTTCAAAAAAAGGAGAAGGTTACCAATTCATCGGAATATTTTTTTTTATGTATGTTACCGCATAACTTTGGACCACATAAACCGGGGTCGAATTGTGTGTTACGAGAACGAAACGGCAACCGTATAAAAAAAATTACGTGACGTGTCGTACGAATGATTAAGTTGGAATTATGGCATACGTTCGGATCGTAATATAACCNGAATATTTTTTTTTATGTATGTTACCGCATAACTTTGGACCACATAAACCGGGGTCGAATTGTGTGTTACGAGAACGAAACGGCAATCGTATAAAAAAAATTACGTGACGTGTCGTACGAATGATTAAGTTGGAATTATGGCATACGTTTGCTGACGGATCGTAATATAACTCGCTATGTAGTAGATTAAAAACTTTTTGTAATAGAATATTGTCAAAGAAATGTCACTTAGTGTGTTATTTAAATACCTACTTGTAAGCAGAAAAATATTAAATATTGGAAGAGACATAAAAATTTACGCTGAGTTATTATTTTATTTGGAATGTTCTTNCGCTATGTAGTAGATTAAAAACTTTTTGTAATAGAATATTGTCAAAGAAATGTCACTTAGTGTGTTATTTAAATACCTACTTGTAAGCAGAAAAATATTAAATATTGGAAAATTTACGCTGAGTTATTATTTTATTTGGAATGTTCTTCTGAGGAAAATGACGGGAATGAACAACGTCTTATAAGAAGACGTTTGAGAGACAAAAACAATCCGCTTACATTGCCACAAAAAGCGTACATTTTTAAATATGTATGTAGTCTCCTATGTTTTCAATTTAGATTTTGATTTAAGATTCATCAAGAGATTTCGTCTCAACAAGGATGCATTTCATTACGTTTTGCAAACTATTGACTTCCATGGCCAATCTTCTGTAGCTGTGCCTCCTATGCTTCAATTGGCAGCAACGCTTTCTTTTCAGGAAGTGGTGGTTTCCAGCATTCGGTACGCAACGACTATCTTATTGGAATGAGTCAAAGTTTGGTATCAAAAGTCATATCAAGGGTGCTAAGGGAAATGGAAGCGAAATTATGAANTTGGCAGCAACGCTTTCTTTTCAGGAAGTGGTGGTTTCCAGCATTCGGTAGGCAACGACTATCTTATTGGAATGAGTCAAAGTTTGGTATCAAAAGTCATTTCAAGGGTGCTAAGGGAAATGGAAGCGAAATTATGCCCAAAACATATAAAATTCACTCCTGAAAATTCGACACCTTGTATGGAGTGGTTCTACGAAAAATACAAAATACCCAGAGGTGAAGAAGTGAAATACATGGCATTGTTTTCTTGGTAGCTTTTAATATTTTTATTCCTTTTAGTTATTGGATGTATCGACGGTACTCACATTGGTCTACAAAAACCCAGTAGCAATGAGCACATGTTTTTCAACCGGAAAGGGTTTCATAGTCTCAATGTGATGGTGGTAAGTTCAATATGCGTACATATGTGAATTAAGAATCGCTTAGAATCTTGGAGTGTTCATGTACTCACACATATTTTCTATAGATATGCGATCACCAGTATAACATTAGGGCAATAAACGCCAGATATGGAGGAGCAGCACATGACTCCTTCATTTGGAAACATTCCGAGGAGAGGAAGTCGTTGCAAGAACGGTCTCAGTTGAATCCTAAAAACAATTTCTGGCTTCTTGGTAGGATTAGACATATTAATCATGAAAATATCAACGTTTATTCTTGTATAACCTTATTAAAGGGACTCCGGATATCCGCTTGAACCGTGGTGCATTACACCTTACAGAAGTCCCAGAGATGGTTCAAGTGAAAGCACATTTAACGAGGTCCACTCAAAGGCCAGAT